CACTCACTCTCACACACACACACACTCACTCTCACACACACACACACTCACTCTCACACACACACACACTCACTCTCACACACACACACACTCACTCACTCTCACACACACACACTCACACACTCACACAAACACTCACACACACACTCTCTCACTCACTCTCACATAATATGTCAGGTTTATATATAAAATATTTATATTTACATTAGTGCCTTCAAACGATTAATCGCATCCAAAATAAAAGTTTGTTTACATAACATATGCGTGTATATTTATTTTATATATACAGTGGGTACGGAAAGTATTCTAATCAATAACAATAACAGTGAACACAGACATAACTGATTTATAAAAGTACTAGAAGCATGCATTAAAGGATAAAACAGTGGAAGATCATCGTGGTAACTGCTTCAATCTCGGTTTTTATTTTGCATTGTTTTAGGTGATTATTAAAAAATATGATTATGAAAGACACACAGCAACCGTTTCAAGTAGATGCCCAAAGCATGAAATGGAAATATCAAGCATAGTGTAATTCTAGTCGTCTGCACTTGCACTTCTAGGGACTAGTGGATGCGTTTTAACCACGAGGTGGCGCTGCGCACAAAACAAACCACAATTAAAGCAACAGTTCTGCCGAAAATGAAAATGTGCTCATCTTCAGTTCATTCGAGATCAGGATGAGTTTGTTTCTTCATCAGATCTGGAGAAATGCTGCACTGCATCAGTGTCTCACTGAAAGTGAATGGGTGCCGTCAGAACGAGAGCTGATAAAAACATCACAGTAATCCACAGCACTCAGTTAACATCTGGAGAAGACAAAAGCTGAGACAAATCCAGCATTAAGACGATTTTAACTTAAACACGAGTCCATAATAACTCTTCCTCCAGTGAAAAAGTGCATCTGCTGTTGTCTCTCACATCAAAATCCAGCCACATATGTGTTTAGAGCTGTTAAACCGCTGCTTGAGCTGTGCAGATTTCTCTCCTGATTCACACCAGAACACTGACTCACTGGAGGAAGAGTTATTATGGACTCGTGTTTAAGTTAAAATCGTCTTAATGCTGGATTTGTCTCAGCTTTTGTCTTCTCCAGATGTTAACTGAGTGCTGTGGATTACTGTGATGTTTTTATCAGCTCTCGTTCTGACGGCACCCATTCACTTACAGTGAGACACTGATGCAGTGCAGCATTTCTCCAGATCTGACGAAGAATCAAACTCATCCTGATCTTCAATGCATTTCCAGCAATTGTTCAGTTCCAGGTGAGCTGTTCCTTTAACAGCGGTTTCGTTGGTTTCCCTGCACACATTCCTCACAGGCTCACGGTTTCATAAAGCATAAGGGATTTATTCTGACATAGTTTGTATGCTTTATGTAAGGCTGTAAAGCACCTTATGAATCAAACTCTGAGCCCAGTGTGTTTGTTATAAGCTCAGAACAGTTTGTGTTTCCCTGAAACTCTTTCTTTCTTTGAGTGGTTTGTGTTAATGATTGACTGATGATGGCACATAACACAAATGAACAATTAAATGACAGTTTAATTAATAATACAGCTTTATCTCCCAAGTGCCCATGGTTTTCGGCTGATGCCAAAAAGTTTCAAACGTTAAGTATTTAAAGATAGTAAATAACACATGCATCATTTCTGCAATTAAATGTATATCTATTATACAAACTGTTTACCAAAATAATTAGAAAGAAAAAATTATTTGAACTTCACAGTTCTGTGGAATAAGCAGATTTAGATTCAGTGTTTTTCAAAAATAAAGATGTTAAAATCATGACTCGAAAGAAAGTAAACCCTGAATATGATTATATAAATATAACAGAAAATTGCATATTGCTTAGTTTTCTAATTAAGTTCTAATTAACATTCATTCAAAATACATGTTAAGGGAGCATTCGATGTTATCATTTTGCAAAGATTTTAAAAAATGTTAGACGAACATCCAACTAAAATGTTCCAGGAAAAAAAATCTGAATTATGTTTTTGTGCTAACACTTTAAAAACATTATTAAAGACCTGATAACTTTGAACGAACATTCTTTAAGTAAACGTTACTGGAAGAGCGTTTGAGATCAAGGATTTAAAGATATTGGAGATATATCACTGGCTATACCAAATATTGTTCGATTTGGGAGCTAAAAATTTAGTTTTTTCCCATTAAAATCAATTAAAGGGATAGTGCATCATTTACTCCCCCTCACGCTGATCCACACATTTATGAGTTTCTTTCTTCTGTTTAACATTAAGAAATATATATTTTGAAGAATGTTCATAATCAAACAATTGCATAGCCATTGACTTCTATAGTATGGAAAGAAAATACTATAGAAGTCAATGGGGACTTTTTTTGGTTGAAAATTCATATTTATATGAATGCATTTGGCAGACGCTTGTATCCATTGCATTCAGGTCTATATACAGTACGTTTAATCAATTCATGCATTCCCTGAGAATAAAACCGCTGAACTTGGGGTTGCGAGCAATTAGTTTCTTCATTGATTAGCTGGCACTAGTACTTGCATGATTTACGCTAAGAGTGTCAATGACTTTAAACAATTACTCGACCAGAAAATCCAAAACAGACACAGTTTAATGAAAAACAACGTGTTTTATTAGAAACCCCAAACCCAGAAACACAGCGCCAGCACTGCATGACAAACAATTCAACATGTGATCACAGATATTAAATAGAGTAAAAAACAATAAGCAGTAGTACAATCACTATCACACAGCAAACCATTTTCCTTTTCAAATCCTTTTTGGACACAAATCAGTAAATCATTCGTCCTCTAAGTGCATTTTAAAACACAGTAAAGACACTAAACCGTGAGTGTCAGTAGTAGTACTCAAGGGCTCGTGTCAGATCTAGTGTGCTATGTCGCCTACGTAGGCAGCATGCTTGATCCTCGGGGCTTGAGCAATGTGTTCAGGTTCCATCAGGCCACTGGAATGCTTACAGTTACTGGAAACGGGAACTAAACCACCAACTCCTGCCTCAACTTGTCTTCTTTACAATTACTCTTCCTTCATTTAGCAGAAGCTCTGAAGCCGCTCGCAAATGAGGAAGAGATCAGGTTCTGTTGAAGTGAGCAGACGAGTCAGGGCAGTTTTGTGTTGTTCTTATCAGCGGTGTGAACGGCAGGAACCGGTTTGCGCTCAGACGAAGGTCCACACCTCCAGATCCCGGACGGTGAAGTCGTGATGGAGGCTGAGAGGACGGTTGCAGAAGGTGCTGCATGAGTAACTGGAGCCGCGATACAGATCAGAATCCAGCCACAAGCCAAACGGGCCCCTGAACACACACAAACAACAGAGCATTCACATTTACATGCATGCATTTGGCAGATGCATTGCATTTAAACTATATGTGACCCTGGAGCACTTATGTGTCAATTTTTCGAAATTGAGATTTATGCATCAGCTGAATGCTGAATGAACAAGCTTTCCAGTGATGTATGGTTTGTTAGGATCGGACAATATTTGAAAATCTGGAATCTGAGGGTGCAAAAAAATCTAAATATTGAGAAAATCATCTTTAAAGTTGTTCAAATTAAGTTCTTAGCAATTCATATTATGAAGTTTTGATATATTTATGGTAGGAAATTTACAAAATATCTTCACGGAACATGATCTTTACTTAATATCCTAATGATTTTTGGCATAAAAGAGAAATGTATAATTGTGACCCATACAATGTATTGTTGGCTATTGCTACAAATATCCCCCAGCGACTCAACACTGCTTTTGTGCTGCAGGCTCACATATTTGCTCAGTTCATGCATTCACCAGGAAATCCTAGTGAACTATTCGTATTTAAATAATACGTTTTTTTTACAATTGCAAGATATAAACTCAGAATTCGGAGGGTTTTTTTCTTTAAATTCCAAGTTTATATCCCACAATTGAGATTTTTTTTTTGTTTCCGCCACTGAATAAAAACAAAAAAGATGCTTTTATTCATCAAAGACACATTAAATTGATCAGTTAAGACATTTCTAATGTGACAAAAGATTTCTATTTCAAATAAATGCAGTTCTTTTGAACTCTCTGTTCATCTGTGAATCCTGACAAATTAAATGTATCACGGTTTCCACAAAAATATTCATGTTTTCAACATGGATAATAATCAGAAATGTTTCTAATAATAAGAATATTATACTGATTTCTGAAGATCATGTGACGCTGAAGACTGGAGGAATGATGCTGAAAATACAGCTGCGCATCACAGAAATACATTACAGTTCAACAGATATTCACAGTTATTTTAAACTGTAACAATATTTTACTATTTTACTGTATTTTTGATCAAATAAATGCAGCCTTGATGAGCAAAAGGGACTTGTTTCAGAAACATTAAAAATGGTGCAGCCGGACTGTGATAAAGCTCTGTTATCGGTTTAATGTTGTGTGATGATGAAGGACTCACCCTCCTCCTCCCATCTGCAGAGAGTCCAGGAATCCTCTCACAAAGTAGGAGTTTTCTCCACTCCAGCGGAAGATCTGCAGGGGAACCAAACACAGGTCAGAACCAGAACCAGACTCAGACTCAGACTCAGAACCAGAACCAGAACCAGAACCAGAACCAGAGCTAGAACTAGAACTAGAACTAGAACTAGAACTAGAACTAGAACCAGAACCAGAGCCAGAACTAGAACCAGACTCAGAACCAGAACCAGAATCAGAACCAGAACCAGAACCAGACTCAGACTCAGACTCAGACTCAGACTCAGACTCAGACTCAGACTCAGAACCAGAACCAGAACCAGAACCAGAGCCAGAGCCAGAACTAGAACTAGAACTAGAATTAGAACCAGACTCAGAACCAGAACCAGAACCAGAACCAGAGCCAGAGCCAGAGCGCCATGCTGCGTGTGCGGTGCCTGAGAGGAGGGAGCCGCGGAGCTGAAGCCGCTCATCTGATCGGTGCTGTGGTGAGTCTTTAGAGAGTAAAGCACTGTAATGAGTGTGTCATGAGATTCTTATGTAATGCATTTACAGAAACTCACACATACTTTATTTTATTTTATTTTATTTTATTTTTTATTTTATTTTATTTTATTTTATTTTATTTTTTTGTGTCAGAAACTGGCTTCCATAGATGCCATAGAATGCACTTTTTTTAGCTAAAATCATCAAATCATCAAGTAGTTTTGTTTTCCATAAAGCAGAAGCTGAAATATGATGTAATGCTGTGTTTAACAGAAGTCATGAGAGCAAGTAGTTTTGTTTTCCATAAAGCAGAAGCTGAAATATGATGTAATGCTGTGTTTAACAGAAGGATGGAAGTCATGAGAGCGTGAAAGATGACAGTTGCTCAACAGACTTTTATTACACTTCCACATTCAGAAAGCAGAAGTGGCAAATAGTAGTGTATCCCCTTTACCCCTTTAGTCTTATGAATGGCGATTCACTAACGTTCAAACCTGATTTAAAAAAAATGCTTTTATTCATCATTAAATTGATAAATTGATCAGTTAAGACATTTCTAATGTGACAAAAGATTTCTATTTCAAATAATCAGCATATTATACTGATTTCTGAAGATCATGTGACGCTGAAGACTGGAGGAATGATTACAGCTGTACAGCTGCGCATCACAGAAATACATTACAGTTCAACAGATATTCACAGTTATTTTAAACTGTAACAATATTTTACTATTTTACTGTATTTTTGATCAAATAAATGCAGCCTTGATGAGCAAAAGGGACTTGTTTCAGAAACATTAAAAATGGTGCAGCCGGACTGTGATAAAGCTCTGTTATCGGTTTAATGTTGTGTGATGATGAAGGACTCACCCTCCTCCTCCCATCTGCAGAGAGTCCAGGAATCCTCTCACAAAGTAGGAGTTTTCTCCACTCCAGCGGAAGATCTGCAGGGGAACCAAACACAGGTCAGAACCAGAACCAGACTCAGACTCAGACTCAGAACCAGAACCAGAACCAGAACCAGAACCAGAGCTAGAACTAGAACTAGAACTAGAACTAGAACTAGAACTAGAACCAGAACCAGAGCCAGAACTAGAACCAGACTCAGAACCAGAACCAGAATCAGAACCAGAACCAGAACCAGACTCAGACTCAGACTCAGA